GAGCGATAAGAATACCAGCGTCGATGTGACTGTCGGCCATTTGTGGGCGGGCGGTTGCGGTGGGCGTCTGGGTCGGCATGTTGCACCTTAATTAGGCGCTATGATGGCGCCCTTGTTTGGAAAAGACGTCCTGTTGAAGGGCGCGGAATTTTGTACCGCTAAGCGTATCGACCCTGTACGCTTTGTCAATTTATCGTGTCACTTGTCTGCCTCCACAGGCCACCCTTAGAAGGCCGTTCCTGCCCGTTGTACTTATTTTCCTCTCCCTCCAATCGAATCACCATAGGTTTCTTCGTATATGCGTCTATGGTCATTCTCTAAACGGACTCCAATCAAAATGATTGATATCGATCGCTCCAAGTAATCGGTATTCTAGGTTCATGGAGTCGCAAAATGATCCTACTAACGACCCTGTTGTGCTGTGGTTGAACGGTGGACCCGGATGCAGTTCGATTGGTGGGTCCATTTCCGGAGACATTGACTTTTCTTCTGGATGAGAAAAAATGAAGAGACGTTATTGTTTGCTTTGTAGGAGGTCTTCTGGAAGAACTTGGACCTTTCCGCAATAATAACGACAATGGCACTACGCTGTTTGAGAACGTGTACTCTTGGAATAAAGTGAGTCAACGTCACGATTATTGACTTATTGATTAACGATTAACGAGATTGACTTTGCAGATGGCAAATGTACTCTTCCTCGAAGCACCCATTGGTGTAGGGTTTTCCTACAGTGACAACGGAACGCATCGCTTGAACGACGATATGGTAAGATTATCGATATATCGATTTTTGGTAAGAAGCATAGAAAAGTGAGTTATGGAAACGGGGGATGTGCAAGTCAGGTTATCCGAGGCTCAGAAAATTGTAGAGTAATTCTAAACTAGTCAACTCGCGGCACACTGCAGCGTTGACACGTTGAACCATTCAGGGTTCGAATGCCGCGCACGCGCCGCTGTAACGCATACTCAGCCGCGGCTCGGATGTCCTTACCATCCTTACTCCTATCCTGCTCTGTTATGGTTTTGTGTGAAGCCGGTTACGCCAAATGGCGTAGCGGACTTCGGCAACGTCTTTGGGAAAAAAATCGGCTGTGGTCTTTGCCATTTGCTTGGAGGAATGGAAATCATCTTGAAGGACATTGTGTGCATGTTAAAAAGCCTCACGACCCAATTGCCCTAGATATTACGCGAACAACCCGGAGCGCCCTAGAGGAATGAAAAGCACTTGAAGCACTTATTAAAACATACAGATGATGTGCATAATCACTCAGGACAGAACCCGCTGTTGAGCAGAGTGCCCGCCAAGTAGTCGAGTGAGGGGAAAAGGATTTCGATGTCACCGACTAGGAGGGCTATACAGCGCGCTAGAAGAGGAAGAGATCAACAATCGGAAAAATTTCCAAGGCCAAAAACCATCCCCTTCCCTCCAGTCCAAAAACACGATTCCCGGAAGGAGAGCCACGATTTTCACAGTGGAGGCGTTTTTCTGGGATCAGGGCTCCAACCATTTTTCTACTCTTTTTGGCTACCGAAGCTGGGGCGTGTCGAGGGCACTGGGCTTGGCGTGGCGCTAGCCCATTCTGCTGTAGTTGTTAAAGAGGGGAAAGTGACGACAATTGGTGAAGACGTGCCAGCGCCGCATCGAACCCATCTCGAACCCAGCTATCCCCGACACGCCCCAACATCTGCAATACACAAGGTTGTATTTGTCCTCGTTATGAACAAGCTCGTTCGAGACCAGCAAAAAGGGGTACCATGGACCTGCTCAATGCTGGCAATATTCTTCTCGCACCCGACACTAGGGCGGACGTGCAGGGTCAGGTCCACGATCGGTCTAGGCAAGATCAAGAACACGAATACTCGAGAACTATTCCTGTTATATCACCTTGGTCAAGGCTACAGCAACACCTTAGAAACTACTCGAGAACTGTTCCTAGAGACCCCTAGAGGCGTCATGATCCTAGGTGTCAATAGCAAACATTCATAGAAAAACTCGATTTTTCTTTAATTTTCAGGATCTCAAGAATTGGTATCACTTTTGAACGTCATTTTCAGACGGCTGACAACAATGCTCAGGCAATCAAGTACTTTTTCGAAGTGGTCTTCCCTGAGTACAAGCATAATGATTTCTTTGTTACTGGTGAGAGTTATGCTGGCGTTTATGGGCCAACACTATCAGTTCGTCTAGTACAAATGATTGACGCTGGACTGTTGGATCTCAATTTCAAGGTACTTTGATTTTGAAATTCGGCTTGTGCTTATGAACTCCTCTACAGAGTCGAGGCTTCAAGCGTGTGGAAGTTGGGGAGAGGTGGGAGGGGAGGATAGGAAGCTGTGGCGCTGAACAAGTATCCCTGGATAGGATGCCCCGAAGTGTTTATGAGGTCCCACCACTTTCTTATCACCAAGAACTCTCAGGACTTCTCTCATATTTGTAAA